ATGCCCTCTCAAAAAAAAAAAAAAAAACACCAGCTCTTCCCTAGTCCTCCCTTCTCACCCAGGGGTCCCAGGGAGGGAACCCTGTCAGTGGGTCCCAGCATTTAGAGCTGGCTCGAGGTGCTCCCTCTGGGCAATCCCCACCCCACTCTAGGTAAGGACAGAAGACGCCTGAAAGCAGAATCTCAGCTGGCTCAGCAGCAGTGAATATTAGACCCCCTGCAGGTGGCTGAACACTTGAAAGTCCTTGTGTTCTAGGTGGAAGTTCCTCCCCCTTCACTCCTCTCTCCCTCCCTCCATCCATCCACCCACATCTATCCCTCCATTACCCATCTAATCTTTCATTTGGCAACATTTACTGGGAGTATGTTTTCATTAGTAATGCAGTCTTTCCCCTCAAGGTATCACAGTCCACAGGGGAGATGGACAAGTAAGTAGAAAATTCCTTTACAGCATTGACTTATAATGGTCATCTCCATTTATTGAAAGCCTACCATGTGCCAGGCAATTTACCCACATTATCTAATTTCATCTCTGGACAAATCTGCCAAATAGTTGTTACAAATTATTATTTTGATTTTGATTTTGATTTTTTCCAGCTATCTGCTCGTACCTCATAAGCCATACAAAAATAGGGGGTGTGTTGATGACCCTAGTTGGCCATTGCCTGCCTTACGCCAGCCTTTACTCCTGTCTCATGGGTAAAGAGATTAAGGCTCAGACTCCTCAGGCCCTCTGAATCCAGTTTTGGGGTCTCATTAGGGCTTAGTGGTGGTTGTGGGCTCCCTGAAGTTGGGCCATACCCCACTGTGGGGTGACCTGGGCCTGTTCCCAGGCTGAGCTGAGCCCCTGCCCTTCTTGGAACTGCCCATCTTCTCCTGAGCATGGAGAATGCATGTCCAGCTCCCTCCCACTGCAAGGAGGAAATGTCCTGCTCACAGGCCAGAAGGACCTTGTGAACATGCCCTGCAGCTGCTTATCCCAAGCTCTGTTTTCAGCACCTTCTCCTCCCTCAGGGGATTCCCAGGGAGTCACTGGGCCCAGTCCCTTCCAGTCATGGGGCTGTGTGGCTTCCATTCCAGCATCTGGAGAGGATGGGGTGACCTAAGGTGCTAGCGGCCTGTCTTTGCTTGTCTGCACACCAGTGATGCCAGGCAAGCTCCTCCACCCCTCTGTGCCTTAGTCTGCTCATAGAACACTGAAGGGCTTCACACAACACCTGGCACAATGTGTATGAGAGATCAAGGGACCAGCAAGTTTGCCGGGGTCCAGAGTATGAGAAAGTACCAATCCAGCGGCCTCTGCCTCCTCCTTGCCCACCGTTCTCCTTGGTACTCACCACCTACTTGGACAACAGAATCCCAGCCATTCCTACCTCCCTATATACAGCTGTGGCCATTCCCTGGAAGGCAGCATTTCACAGTGGAAATGTCTGAGCTCTGGAGCTTATGAGCTGTGTGATTTGGGCAAGTTACTTTGTCTCTCTGAGCCTTGGGCCCCTTGGGATAGGAATACCCTCCTCACCTTCCAGACAGGCTGTGAAGGTTAAAGGGGTTGACAGACCTGAGTAGGTGCCATTCATGGACGTTCATCTCAGCAGACCCAGTATTTATTCTTGCCTAAATACTGCCTTTTTTGGAACACCCCTGCCCTGGAGAAGAGGACGTGGGAGCCAGAAAGTGTAGAAACTCCCTTCCCGGCCTCTCTGGAACTGTGTAACAGCACAGGCCTGCCGCAGTTGCCAAAGGGTGGACTGTTTCCACACTTTGGTTTCACAAGAACGCAGCTGGCACCATGCTCAGCTCTTTGGTGCTTGGATGTAGTTAGTGAGGTTCTTCTGGTGAAGTGCCTACCTTTCTGTAAGTTGGTTGAGCCTGAGCCTCGGTCAGTCCCTGGGGCGTCCTGTGTCATTTACTGGAAAGAGACCCAGCCAGGCAAGAAGGTCCCTGGTAGGAAAGAAAGCCATGCCTCTCTCCATGAGAGAATCTTTCCTCTCTTTCTGTTTCGTTCTTTGCAAGTCTATGGAGTGCCTGTGATCTGTCAGGCATGGGTCCGGGGTAGGGGAGAGAGGAAAACAAAAGCTCTCCTTTGTATGCCATCCCCAGGCAGGTCCCCGTTGGGGATCTCAGATCATTGGATCTCCTGATGTGGGTGAGCCCTTCTTTCCTGCCTCTGAGTTTGACAGGGGTCCCAGTGGCTTCTTGGGGCCAGACTTCCCTGGCTCCTGGGTCACTGCTGTCCCTGCATGTCTCAGACCCAGGCCTTGGACCCTGTAGACTGGAAGGGCCCTCAGTCAGATCTCTCCCACAGCACGTGAATCCCTCATGAACCCTTTCAGAGTCTGTTTCTGTGCCACACGATGGGCATGCGTATCGCACAGGCAGCTATTTCCTTCTTTGGTTGTCTTTCTTGCATGTTGTACCCAAATCAGACCCACAGAAAGGCAGCTGAAGCATGCTTTCCCTAACAGATGTCAGAAAGCCGAACCAGACCCCTTGGGAGATGGTGGGCCCTCCCTGGTAACCCTTCCTCCTGTCACTGGAGGTGTAGAAAGTTGAAGCTGAGCTTGCACTTGGTAAGGATGATCGAAGATTGTCATGTCCAGAGAAGGGTGAGGGGGCCTCCACATGGACAGGGGAGAGTCGTAAGACTTAGGACTGCCTTGGTTCCTTAAAGGAGGAGGAGGGGGTGAAATCTGCCCCTCGGCTCTCCCTCCCTCTCCTCTGTGGCTTCCACAGGGCAGTGGAACACAACTGGGTCTGGTGCCTGCTCCCTTACCCCTGCAGCCCAGCTCTGCCTGTGCAGCTGTCTCAGGCCAGCTGTCCTGGCCCCCACTGCCGGCCACTGGCTCCCTTCTCCCCACAGGGCCTGCTGGCCGGCCATTCCTGAGTTGTCTGGCCTCAGGGAGGCAGTGAGGTAAACCAGTGTCCAGCTTCCTTCTCCCTCCTTGAGTGCTGCCCTGACCTGGGGTCCCTCAGGGTGGAGCAGAGCAGCCAGTGTGCTGAAGCATTTTTTGTGTGGCTTCTGAAGCACCAGTGTGTCGCCCAGGATGACTTGGAAACAACCTGTGTGCTTAATCTTCAAGTATTGATTAAATGTTTCATGGTATGTCTGTACCTGACACAGTGACCTGGGATCCTAATGGACTTCTGAACAGGCTTCATGGGGTCTATGAACCTCCAGAAATTATTTGCAAAATGCTACTTATACTTAAATTTTCTGGGTGAACCTGTGACCCTTCCCAAATGTTAGTAAGTACTGATCAATAGCATGGACTCGTATGCAATGTGCAAAATTATGTTGTAGAAGAACATTTTATCAGTAAACAGAGATGGAAATTATAGAATGAAAAACGCAGGCTACATCTATAAACAGTAAGAGCCCAACTTTGTTTAAAACCTTTTGTTACATGCACACACACACACAGTGGAAATATAGCTCCTAAAATGATGCCAGTTTTTATCTCTGGGGTAAGCTAAAAAATGTAATTTGCAGTTTTCTGTATTTGTTGGCTGTTCTACCATACATATTTGTTCCCTTAGTAAGAAGACGGTGTAGGGAGCCCTCAGTCCATTTTCTGAGAAGCCAGAACTCTCCTTCTCCCGCCAGCAGCCCCTAGCCGCAGAGGGAATCCTGCAGATCTGTGGAACAGGCCACAGGTCTCACCTCTGAGTCTCCAGCAGTCACTCACTACCTCCTACATAATTTCCCTTCAGGCCCAGCCCTGGTAGAGTGACTGACTCAGACTTGAACTGTCCAACATCAAGCAGCCAAGACTGCCCACAGGACTGCACTGCCTGGCTGTGTGGCTTTGGGCTAGTCACCTAACATCTCTGGCCCTCAGGGTACCATCAGATGGGACCCCATGTTAGTACCTGCCTCATGGGGTTGTTGTCAGGGCAGCTGGGACAGTTTGGGGCCGGCTGAGCACAGATGCCCGTCAACCTTGGGTTCCGTTTGCCCCCAGCCCCAGCCCTGCCCACCCAGCCCACCCTGCATTGACTTACCTCCCTTCTCTCATCTCCCCAGGGAGCTCCAGGACCTGCAGGATGGGGTCAGCCTGTATCAAAATCACCAAATACTTTCTCTTCCTCTTCAATTTGCTCTTCTTTGTAAGTATGAGTAGCATTGGTGGACCACCTCCACCAGACTCTTCTCCCAGGATGGGGGCTGAAGACAGGCGATTCCAAGTGGGACCAGGTGGTGGCAGCAAGGAGATTTGCCTCATTCCAGCTGGCTCTGTGGCAGGGCACTGGATTCCTCTCCTGGAGTACTGAGGTCCAGGCCATTCAGGGCTGGAGGTGGGTGTGGGGAGCCCCTGAATGTGTGTCCTCCAGCTCATTAGCTGGGAGTTGTTGGGAATCTTTCGCATCCTGTTCTGAGTCCCTGCCCTCCTGGCCCCCTTCTGAAGAACACACCTGTTAACAGGTCCAGGTCTCGTCAGCCCCCACTGCACCCCACCACCCCCATGATGGGGATGTCTCCTGAGTGCTCAGAGGGTGGGCAAGAGAGGCGGGGCCCTGGGACAGAGTGGAGACACAGCCCCCCTTCCCTAGATCCGCCCCGGAAGTCCTCAGCAGGTTCGCGAGCCATGGGCCTCCCAGATGGAAGCTCAGGACACATCTGGAGCTGGTTTTCCTAGGGTCTTGACTTTCTTCTCTGGCCTGGCACTGGCTGACTCCTTCTGCCTTGGAGTTGCCAGCATGACTGTGTGTGTGTGTGTGTGTGTGTGTGTGTGTCTGAGCATATATCCTGGTGTGAGGATGTGTGTGTGAATGGGTGCATGATGGGGGTAGGGGGAGAATAGCGTGTGTGTGTGTGTATGTGTGTGTGTGTGTGTGTGTGTGTGTGTCTGAGCATATATCCTGGTGTGAGGATGTGTGTGTGAATGGGTGCGTGATGGGGGTAGGGGGAGAATAGCCTGAGAGGCCTCTGTGGCCCCAGTGGTGCTGGGGGCTGTGTCCTCACCATGCTGGCTCATTACATCCTGTTAAAAATCAGGCTATACAGGAGGATGTTCATTATGATGCAGTTTTATTTTTGAAAATGGTACACATATATGAATATTTTTCAGAGGAGAAGAAAATGCCTCTGAATGTTACTGTTGGGATTCTTGGGAATTTTGATTCTATCCTTTAGGCCTCTCTGCATTTTCTGAATTTTCTGCAATAGACATGAGGTACTTTGGGGACCAAAACAGTTTTACCCTACAAGTTACATAGGATAGTAGAAAGTTTGGAAAACAAAGAATCATTCCAAATCTGCCTTCATAACTTTAACCCAACATGCAGATACAAGTGTGTTCCCAGCCCGCACAGGCACAGGGACAGCGCATGCTGCCTGTCCTGCCGTCTGTCCACCCTGGCCCCAGCCCCAGCTCCCATCTGGAGAATCTTAGTGGTCAGGTCCGTGCTGGTTGGCCCAGGCCTCTGGAAAGCAGCCGCCTGTGCAGAAGAGCCAAGCTTTCCCTGGCAGGCACTTCTCTGGCATCAAGGGCGGGCCAGCCAGGACTGGGAAATGGGGTCTGAGTGCTGTGGTTCTACCCCCTGGGGGCTTTAGGGAATAGAGAGAGAGGTCTGGGTTACAGCCTAGGAGGTAATGGGGCTCGGGAATCAGGGGCACAGACACCCCATGTCCCCCATGCAGTGGGAAGAACAGGTGGAGACTGTGGAGAAAGGGAGTGGGGTTGATGGTTTTGGCCAAGGTGTCCCTTCCTATCCTGTTCCCAGGCTGTCCTACGGAGCCAGAGACTGGAAAAGCTTCTCTCTGGCCAGAGCTTTGGGAGATGGTCTTGGGCCATCCCATCCTGGGCTTGGCCTCTTCCCAGCTGCTCCAGGTATTAACTCTGTGTGTGCTGGGGCCCAGGATATGGGGAGTAGGGGTGGGGGATTAGAGAGGGGAAACTTTTATTACAGAAAGGCCAGAGGGAAAGGAGAGATATAGGGACAGTGTATATGCGTTCATTCATTCATTCACTCATTATCATTTACCAAATGTGTATTTGACACATCTGTGTATCCAGCCCTTTTCATGGGTGCCAGGTAGACATTCACCTGCAGAAGAGCTGTGGTTTCTGTACTCATGAGGTTTATGTTCTGGCGGAGTGGGGGTCTCCAGCCAAATACTTATTCAAATGGATAATAAAATTACAATTATGTTAGGTGCTGGGAGTGAAGCATATGGCCCCTAGGAGAGCAGATAGGGGGCTTGACCTTGACAGGGCAGTCAGCAAAAGCTTCCTGGAGTTGTGTGTGTGGAGAGAGGGCTCCTGGAAGTAGGAGCATAAGTCCAAGCTGGGGGTGGGATGGAGTGTGCCTCTCCAGGCACAGGACATGCAGGCCTTCCTGGAAGGATTCTGGTCTTTGTTTTATGCACAGTGGGAAGCAGTTACGTGATCAGCTTGTGGTTTGGGAAAATTGCCCTGGCTGCTGTGTGTGCTTATGCATGCACATGCGTACATGTGCATGTCCTTGCCTATACTTCCTCCTGACCCCAAACTCCCCAGAAAATTGCCCAGTCAGCTATTCTCAGGTGTGCTGAGAAAACAGAACCATAGCTGTTCTGGGGGGTGGATCCTAGCTGTGAGGGTCCTGGCTCCTGCTAAGCCCTGTTGGGAGATTCTGGTGGGGCGTGGAGGGTGCCCATCAGACACAGTCATATTTCATGGAGAAAGAGGGTGACAAGATGCCTTCCCCATTCTGCTTGTCTAGGCCTCCTTTCTGGCTGATCCACGTACTGGAGGCTGGTCCAGCCATACCTGATGGCCAGTCTGCCATCCTCAGACATGTAGAGGGACTGAACAGATAGCACCAGGGACTTCCCTCATGGATCCCTTGAAGTGAGCTGAGGAGTTTAGCTGGGCAGTCCTGGGTTTTTATCTACTTGGGATTATGTTTTCCCAGAGGGAATTTCCTGCCCTGCCTCCCACACCCTTTTTGAAAGAGCTGTTCTCCCTGCTGTCCTGCCCCATGAGTGCAGGAGTGAGCATGTTAGGGGCCCAGCCAGGTCGTCTGAAGTGCACAGGAGCAGACTGTGGGCCTGATGACCTGCCTGGGTCCAGCTGTGCTGTGGGCTGCTGGGGTGGGGTGGGCAGGGGCTCAGGAGTGTTTGGGAACCAAATCCCAGTTGCTGTAAAGACCAAGCCCATTCCTCCCAGCAAGCTGTGCAATCTGAGGCCATGCCACCTGAGGGTAGACAATTCCTAGGGTCTCCATAGCCTTCCTGTCCCCAGAAACTGGCTCTCTAGGCTAAGGTTCGGAAGAGAACCCCAGTACCACCACCTGGCTTAGACTGACAGATGAACTGAGTGACCTTGGGCAAGGTCAGAGCCTTAGTTTCCCCATCTGTGAAATGAGGACAGTAACAGGGCCCATCTGACAAAGGGAAAGGAGAAGACAGTGAGCTGCTGGAAGATAGTGAGGGCAGTGTAGGTGGTCATCAGCTGCTGTCTTTAAGGGGCCTGGACTCCGTAAGGTGAGTGAGGCACTGGCTCAGAATGAGAAGCAGTGATAAACCGTGCCATACCATGGCTGTCACTTTTCTAAAGGGAACTAACAGTGACATCAACCCTTTCTTTATTGAAATGCTTGATATTTTGTTCATCATGGATTTTTTTCCATTAATTTTGTTTTCTTAAGAATAATTGCTGAAAAAGGCCCTGGGGCCCCAGTACTCCACCCCCCCATGCTGAGGGCTTTATTGTTAGTTGCTTGCCTTTCACCTAAGATTAAGGGATGATGGCTGAGGTGAGAACCCAGGGCTAGCAATAGAGGTGGATGGTGACATGCTGGGACTCTCAAGGTGCGTTATTCCCCAGGTGGGCCCAGGCCAGGCCCCAGGTAAAGGCCAACCTATGGGATGATTTGGGACCCTCCACTCCTGAAGGGAACTAGTGTTTTTTCTGGGCACTTCCCCAGTTTGGCCAGCATGAGGGGATAGTGGGTCTTGGCTAAAGTTCCAACTGGGGAGGTAGGCTCAGGTTGTGGGCCACCCTGGCAGAGGGGAAGGAGGCAGAGAATCTCTAGGCCTAGGCCTACACCAGCATTGCCCCATTCGTTTGCCTTTCTACTCCTGTACTTACTGTCGGGTGATGAACTCATTCATTCCCAGAGCCCACAGCACCTGGTGCTCTACCACGCAGTGGTACAGAGCTGTATGCAACCTGGCGCTGCCCTCAGGGAGCTCACAGTCTAGCCTGGGAGGTGCACATGGCAGAGTCAAACCCAGTGAGAATGGCTATTAAGAAGGGGCTGACAGTGGTGGCCAAAAGTAGGGGCCCCTTAGTCTGCAGGGGGAAGGTCTTAGTCTTCTGTGGAAGGTGGCCTTGGAGCCAAGCTCTGAAGGACAAATGGACTTTGATGTTCAAATCCATGGAGGTTTCCTCCCAAAGCTTGTTCAGGACATTCCCAGCCCCTGAAATGGGCTGGAGTGGAAGGGATAAGCACAGGGAAGGATTAGGAGATGAAGTAGAAAGTTACCCCTGGCAAGAGGCCATGTCCCTAGAAGTGGTAAGCTCAGTATGACCACACGCAGGCATGGAGTAGGGAAGACAGTGGGGTATGGGGGCAGGAGGGACTCCCCACACATGGCTCTGTTCTTTGGATTGCCAGGGTTTGCCAAGACTTAGGGTTTGGGGTCTGAGGCCACCCTGATACCCTCAGGCTAGGCAAGGATGGAATTGGTTTCTATTATATTACCCTAGCCTAGGTTGCAGGGCCCTCTCAGGTCCCCCATTAACTACTTCCTTCTCCTTCCAGATCCTGGGTGCAGTGATCCTGGGCTTCGGGGTGTGGATCCTGGCCGACAGGAGCAGTTTCATCTCTGTCCTGCGTAAGGACCCTCCCAGGCTGGCTCTGGGGGGAGGTGGGGAGGGCTGGGGCAGCAGACAGGGCTGCCCCCACAAGACTTCAGCCTCAAAGCTGGTCACTTTTCCAGCTGACCCCAGGGCCTTCCCCAGGTCCTGCTGCTGACCGGTCCACCATGGGTTCCTCTGCAGGGGTTTCTGGAAGGAATTTTCTCTCCACTAACCCCAAACAAAGCTGCTGTTGTCTGAAGAACATGGGGATCAGGGAATCTTGTTCTCCCATCCTGGCTCTTTCCTTCAGCCCTGACCTTGGGAAAGCCTCTTATATTCTCAGCCCCTACATTTGCCAGCTCAGCAAAATGTGGGCAACAGTCCCTCCCCTGCCAATTCTGAGATGTAGGAAAGGTCAGGAACAATGGGTTGGCCGGAGCTGATGAAGTGCCTGCTGTGTGCCTAACACTGGCCAGGTGAATTGGCATGTGCGCCGAGGAGGAAGGCGCCGTGCACTGCTTCTGTTGTTTGTGCTCATTGTGTGGCTGGCCTGGGGTCAAGGGTTGCAACATATAGTGTCTTAATCCCACAGTAGTGCTGTGAGGTAGGAGCTATTACATTCCTGCCTTACAAATGAAGAAATGAGGCTCAGAGATATGATGACCCTTGCTCAAGTTCACACTGCTTCTAAGTGATAGGCATGGGACAGGAACCCTGAGAGCTTTGGTCCTAAATGGTAGGGGAGCCCCGACATCAAAGCCCTTCCTCTCACACTTGAAGGAGGGGGAAAGAAGCCTGAGGGACCCCTGCCCAGATGGTAAGAGCCCTTCTGATCTACTCATGGCCTCCTCCAGGAAGCCTGCTGGGCTTGCTGCACTGGCCTCAGCACAGCTGAGGGCCCTGAGGAGCACAGTGGTGCCTCTCCCGGCAGCAAGCGCCTCTTTGGCCTCTTCCCCTCCCACCCTCCCAGCAGCTGCTGAGGCAGCAGGTTTGGACTTGGGCCCATGACAGCTGCTTGATTTGAATAAAACAGAACCAAGCTGAGATGGGTGATGGAAGGCCACACCTGTCACTGTGGACCTAGGGTGCTAGGCCTCCCCTCAGATATGCAGGATGATCCACCCTCCAGCCATATCAGATGCAGCCCAAAGCTGTCAGTCCTGCCTCCTGGTGGGGGAAGCAGACCACACCCCCATTCTGGCACTAGGGTCGGGGGTTTCCTGCCTCAGCTGGGTGCCCACACTCCCCATGCCCTCTCAGCATGGGGCACCTCCTCCTGGACCCTGACTAGACTCAGGCTCTCTGCTTCGTGGGCCACGGCCCACACCCAGCAGACCCTGTGCCACAGAGCAAGGTCTTTCAGCCTGGCCTGTCCCCTGCATTCTGCCCTCTGCACCCAGCCCCAGGGATCCAGTGATGCCTGCTGCTCCTCCCACCTTCTCCCTGCTCAGGTCTGAGGATCTGGACCTAGGCAACTTTTGGGGGCCCCCTAGATGGAGTGCTCTTATAAACATCAGGGCCCAGGCCCCACTGAGGGATCTGGCTCCATGGGTGTGGGTGGGGGCCTGGAGCAGGTGGCTGTTAAAAAGCTCCTCAGGCAGCCAGGGCTCAGTCACTACACCCCTGGGTAAACTGAGGCTTAGGGGAAAAGACTTGCTAAGAGTCACACAACAAGTGAGGGTCAGAGCTAGAGCTCTGTCATGCACATGGATGGCCCGCCCCAGGATCTTCACCTGCCTCCCTCTGCAGGCTCGGATCAGGGCTGGCCTGTGCGAGGACAGGGGCTGGTGTCCATAAGATGTGCTAAGAGACCGAGCCCTACAGCTGGGCTAGCTCCCAAGGGAAGGGCCTGTATTGGGGTCTCAGCCCTGGGCCTTGCCTGCTGGGTGTCTTGGTGGCCTCTTAGCCTTGCTGGGCCTCCGGGCCCTTAGGGACAAGTCAGGATGTAAATCCCCCCTTGCTGGCTGTTGTGGAAATGAAACAGGATGGCTCTGATAAGAGGCCTTGTTGGGGCCCCACACGGTGGATTCCCAGCAGTGCCACTTCCTTCTTCCTGGGAGCAGTTGATGGGAGGACTCAGAACCCAATTTCAGGAAGTTTAGAAAACGTGGAGTTGGACAGCCTCCTCCTGCCCAAGTTAGTGGCTGAGAGCCAGGGCAGTAGGGCCTGGGACAAAAAGGCGGGCTCAGGACCAGGAAGCCCCCACACTTCCCCTGGTGGGGGTGCTGCCTGGCTCCCTGGGGGATCCTGTGAGGAGCTGGGTAGAGGCAGCCCTGCTCTGGCACACTGAGAGTGGGGTGGGCTGGCTAGGGCTCTTCCTGAGTTCCAGAACATTCTGTCTATGACCAGGAAGTAGAGCTGGATCAGGCTTTCCTACCCACCCACACTCCAGCTTTGTGGTTATTCTTTAAGAATGTTAATACCCCTTGGTGGCCAAGGTGGGGATCTCAGCCTCCCCAAGGTCCCTCAAGAAGCTGGCCTGGATTTGTCCAGCTGACAGTCAGCTATGGCAGCCCTGGCTGTGCCCACGTCATTAGGAAAGCACATTAAAAATGTAGATTCCAGTCAGTTTCCTAGGAAAGTCTGCCCAGGTGAGATGGACCCAGGAATCTATCTCTAAGAGGTTCCTCAGATCCGCTGATGCACTCCATCTAGCCTGCTCTCCCCTCCTGCCTCCCCATGAATGTGGGGCTGTCATGAGAGCGAGTCTGCAGGCTCCTGCCTGTGAGGAGGCATATGTACCCAGGCTTCCTGGCCTATCACAGCCTTGGTAGAGTATCCCCCACATCGGCAGGCTTGGGTGGGGGAAGACTTGAGCTTTGCCCTCTGTGATCTGCTGGGCTTCTTGGGAAATACTGGCCAGGTGCCTTGATGGGACTCCTGACCTCCTCCCACCAGGGCAGGCTGTCCCCCCTGAAGAGGGTCTCTTGCTGTCGGGCCCCTCTCTACACCTCAGGCAGGTCACCTGTTAGACTCCTGTCCAACCCACACTGGGCCATTCTTACTTACCTTTTTTCAATTCTTCAAATACATCAGGCTTACTCCTTCCTCAGGCCTTTGTACTTGCTGTTCCCACTGTCTGCAGTACTTTCCCTCTGATCCTTACTAGGCTGACTTCTCCGTTTTTGTCTCAGCTCAAATTGTCACCTGCTCAAACCAGCCTTTGCCAGCCACCCCAACCCACAGACCTGCCCCATTGTTATCCACCTTAGCCGCATCCGTATCTCCGTGGCCCTTTACACAGTCAGATCTAATTGCTTACTTATTCTCACCATTCCTCAGTCTACGCTGAATGTCAGCTCCTTGGTCTGCCTTCTGTATCCCCAGTAGCTGGCACGGTGTCTGGCACATGCAGGCACCTGGTAAAAATGTGTGTGTTGAATGAACAGCATTACACCTTTATCAGTACATGTGCCTGTGCATCGTTGGGAAGAGCACGGCACTGGAGGTCTGCATATTTCCAGATCCCAGCCCTGATCCTTGCTGTTCTGAGCCTCAGTTTCCTCATCTGTGAAATAGCTGTGCTAGTGTCTACCATGCAGTTACGTCAGAGTTGGAGACAGTGTGGATGGAACTCTCGAGGTTCAGTGAGTAGGCAAGAGAGGCTAGGGTTTATATTATATGGCCAAGGAGGGAGACGGGTTTTAAATGTCCATGGCCCCGGAGAACCTGCCAGTCTGTAGTCCATTAATTCAGTAGATATTCATATAGCACTTCACTGCCAGACACTGTTCTGGGGGCTGGGGGCTCAGCAGGGAACCCTGTCCTTGTCCAGCTCACATTCTTGTAGGGGTGGCAGACAGTGAGCAAGATAAATCAGTAAAACGTAGGGTCTTTTCAGTCTTAAGTGCTAAGGAACAAACTGAAGCAGTGATAGGACAGATGAGAGAGTAGGGGGAAACCGGGGGAGGCAGCTTCCAAAGGTGTACAGGGAGCTGGTTCCTTGTCTGAGGGCTGACCCCAGGGCTCAGGCTCCAAGGAGTGGGTTTGGGGGCAGTCCTAGGCCATCAGGCCCTGCCCCTGATTTTGTACTCACTCAGGGTGAGACAGCCAGGCTGAATTCAACACCCTTTCCCATCCCCCAGAGACCTCCAGCTCGCTCCAGGCTGGGGCCTATGTCTTCATTGGCGTGGGGGCCGTCACCATGCTCATGGGCTTCCTGGGCTGCATCGGCGCCATCAAGGAGGTCCGCTGCCTGCTGGGGCTGGTGAGTATGGCCCTCCACCACTGCCCAGCAGCTCCGCCAGCCAGCCATGGTGCCTGAGCACTGCCCCTGCCCATACTGTGGGGAGCATCCTTGAGGTGAGGGAGGGGGTCAGGTGCTCCCGCTGGGGCACCTGTGGCTAACTCTGTGCCTGCTCTGTGTCCCCAGTACTTTGTCTTCCTCCTCCTGATCCTCATCGCCCAGGTGGCTGCTGGGGCCCTCTTCTACTTGAACATGGGTGAGGTAAGCACCCCTCTGTCCCAGCCCCAACCTAGGCTGGACTGCCCATGCACGGGATTGGCTCTGGGGGTAGGGGATAGACAGGAAGCCTCTCAGGTGTCAAAGGCAAACACAGTATGTGCAAGGCAGCCCCTGCCCCCCTCTCCCCCCACCCCCAGTCCCATCCCCTGTGATCACACGGTAGGATGTTAGAAGGGAAGGGCAGTGTGTGTGAGCAGAGCCACTGCTGGGGCTGAGCTCAGCTCTACCCCACCACTTTGTAGCTGTGTGGCTGTGGGCAAGCTGCTTGCCTCTCAGTTTCCCTTCTGTAAACTGGGAACAATAATGAAGTTAACTCTCAAGGTTGTTGCGAGGATTCAGTGATATTATCTTAGTTAAGCACAGCACAGTGCTTGGCACAAAAGCACTCAATAAATATTTGTTGTTATTATTAAGGCACCTTAGCAAGTATTAAATCTGTGCCACTCATCACAGGTGAGGCCCAGGGAAGAGACTGTCAATAAAAACATTAGTCCTGTGTCAAAGGGAAGGCACTCAGGTTTAAAGGAATGGAAAAATCAGACTTCCTGTGGCTTCAGCTGTAAGGGTATGTCACTGACTTAATCAGAAGCTGGGTTTGGAAGCACAGAGATGCTGTTTTGGCTGTCTGCTCAGCACCCTCATCATGCCACTCCTACATCATGCACTCACCTCATGGTCACAGGGTGGCAGCCCCAGCACCTGGCACAACATCCATGCTGCTGCAGCCAGAATGGGAGAGGGCAGTGTCAGCCATAGCTGTCCCCTTTACCAGAAGAGCAAATCCTCCAGCCCTCCTCCCCAGACTGGGTTCCAAGAGTACCCCTGGCTTCCAAGGGGCTGAGAAAGTGAGTATCCAGCTCTGGATTCTAAACACAGAGGCTCAGAAGGAAAGGGAGGCAGGAACAGCTGCTGGTCAGGCCAATCAAGTGTGCCCATCATATTTATTTATAGAGCACCTGCTATGTGCACATGGGATCTTCTAGAAGCATTGCACACATTGTCTCATCCTCACAACAGTTCTGTACTGTGTGATGTTGACAGGGAAGTAGATGCTCAGAGATGATGGACAATAGTGACATCAGTAATAGTAACCAGAAGCTCCTCCACCCCTGCAGCAGGTCCGGCCCACACCATGTACTGAGTACAGTGCGGGCACCTCACATTCATTCCTCAGTGACCCTCACCATGCCCTTGCAAGGTGGCATGAGGTCCCCATCCTACAGGAAGGGGGCTGAAGACACCCAGCCAGTCAGATGCCAGGCCCCTGATGCCATTCCAGAGTTCATCCTACCCCTCTGCACATGTCCAATGGCTCAGCTGAGCCTGGGGGCCTGCCCTCCTCTGGTGCTACAGTTCACATCCACTGATGAGGTGGCAGAGCTGGCAGTCAGGTGGGCTCCTGAATTTTGCCACTTGAAGATCCAGTTGCCTTAGTTCCCTCTTAGAAGGAAGCACCAACAGTTAATAGAATATGCCACAAGCCTGGTACCAAATGCCACACACAGATGCATTTAAGTAGCTGTGCCTCATAATAATCTTACAAGACTATGGATATGAATCCCCTCATTTTCAGTGAGGAAGCTGAGGCACAGAGAGGTTAAGCAACCTGGCCAAGGGACACACAGCTAGTAAGTATCAGAGCCGGGATTTGAACCCAGGTGACCTTCGGTCTATGCTGGTGACATTTTCATTATGGTAGTTCCTACCTGAATCTGCTTTACTTATTTGTAATCTACACCCAGCCTAATTCCCAGGAGAACTAAAGCTGACTTCTAGCACAGGCACAAGGTAACTAAAATCAAAGTGAGAGACATCGGAATACACAGTGAATGAGAGGAAGATCATTGTTTCTGAAGCCAGGGGACAGATGCTGTAGCTGAGGGCTAATTTGAACACTGAGGATCCTGGCAGTTGGGGCAAAAGGGGAAATAGTGGTTTTAGTAGATGAAAGGAAGCTTTCTTGGCCATCAAACAGGAAGGTAGGGCTTAGGGGAGGGAAACTCTTTTCTCAGTGAAAGGGTTGTGAGATGCACCTGGGGCTTCTCGGACCTGGTCAATGGTACATTATACTCAGGGTTGATGAGAACCAGGTCCCAGCTCACAGTTACTCCTAATGACTCAGAAGCCGGCTGATTCTGCAGGGGTCTTGGGTAGTCCACTTTTCAGACTCTGTGGGTTTCCCCATCTCACAGTAATAAAGATGGTGCCCACTGGTTGGACACCAACCACATGCCAGGAGCTGAACTAGGAACTTGACGTATATTTCAGTTTTCCAAACATTTTTCAGTTTAAGAAAGTGAGGCCCTGAAAAACAAAGTGGCCTTTGACCACGGTCACTGACAGCTGTAGTGTATCAGGGGAGATTTCCATCCGCATCCCTCTGGCCCTGGGCCATGCCTCCCACCCCACCGTGCTGCCTCCCAACGGACCAGGAACTATGCCTCAGAGGCACCCCACGGCTGCAGAGCAGGGCTTGTTTGGACAATCAGGCCTCCTGACTCCAGTTAAGAGTCTGTCCACCATACCCCACTGTGTCCTCCTCTGTTTCCCACCCAGTCACCTCCAGGCTCCACACCTCACACTCCACGGCCCCAGCCCGCCTCACTTTGGCCCATCTCCTCTTCTGGAAGGCAAGGGAAAATCCTGGCTTGCTGGGGACGTTCTGGGGCCACTCTATCACCAGAGTTAGAATGAATGATTTATTTTTTTCTTTCCCAGCACATTATAAATCCCAGAAGAAGACTAAACATGCCCTTGATGGTGTTTATTCCTGCAGATGCAGATGAAGCCCAGCTGGGGAGGTGGGACTTGTTTTAGCCTGAAGGAAAAAGGTCTTTTAAAGGCAATAGGCCATTCTTTCCCCACTCTGCAGGCCTCCTGGGTGAGCAGAAGGGCTGAGCACCCTCGCATGGTCTCTGGAGCTGCGATCTGCCTTTCCACCTACCCCATGCTCCCAGGCTCTTCCCAGGGAAGCAACAGGGAAGCCTGAGGGCCTTAGGCAAGGCACAGGGGCTCTCTAACCTTGGGTTCTGTGTCTATAAATTGAGAATAGTAAGCTAGCCTGGGCCCCCAACCCACCCAGGGTGAAGTGAACACAGACTGCAGCACTCTTATAGAATAGAGTGGTGGCCAAGAGCCTCAACTCCAGAACCAACCTGCTCATTCTGGAACCCCTGCTCTGAGACCCTCGGCAAGTTACTCAGCCTCTCTGTGTCTCACTTGCCTCGTTTGTCAAATGGCAGTAATCACATAGGTTGGCTCTCCCTTCACTGCAACTCTGAAATCCAGAAACCACTTTGAAAACCAAAACCATCATTTGCAACTCATTTTGTGGCAAAATTGAACCTGAATGAAAGTGAGTCTATTTATAACTTTTGTTTACCCAGTTTAGGTATTAAGAATGGGGCAAGCTTTGGGGTGTGGCACATACCCCCTGTCCCTTTCTAAACTCCAAACATTTCAGGGTGTTGGCGCATATTGGCCCCAGGGGCCATCTCGTAGCAATGTGGTGACAATTAAAAACATTGACATATGGGAAGGGCACAGCATAGTGCCTGACCCAGAGCAGACATTTGCTGGCATCATTTATTATTGTTGCCACAACTGTTAATTTCATTAATGCCTAGTAAGGGCTCAGTAAATGGCAGCAGTTCCTGTTGTCCTTGATATTAGTATTAGTATTAGCAAGAACTGTTGCAGGAGCCAGGATTTGGGTAGGAAGTTAAGAATCCTCTGACCATGTCCTCATCTGATTATTTATCCAGCCTCTGTTCAGTGGGCAAAGCCCAGGTCTCAGAGTCAAGGGCCCCATGTTCTAGGTTTTGCTTTGCCACTGATTGCTGTGTGGGCTTAGAAAAGTTAGCTAGCCTCTCTGAGCCTCAGGGGACCTCTTGGGCCATCTCCAGCTCTGACACTCTGGGATTCTGACTTGTTCTCTCCAGGTAGCAGAGAGTGGGAGGTGGTCAAGAGGAAGGAAATGAACATACTTTGTGTCATGCTCAGCACTGGCCTCGCGGCACTCCTGCAGGTCATATAGCAAACCCGCCCAACAGCCTGCACAGGGGAGCCTCTGCAGCTCCACGAGGTTATATGGGGCACAAGCTGAAGGCCTGGTGGGGCAGGGAAGGGGCTTGTGGGATCTAGGTGAGAACCAGGAAGGAGGTGGGGGTGGTGACATGGCTGGACCCAACTGCTATGTGTTCCCCAGGGGGTTGATCAAAACTGTGGTTCCCTCTCTCCTTCCCTCTTCCACCTAAGAAGCCCAAAAGATCCAGTGTGCACATGCCCTAAGACACAGGTGGTAAAACAGGTTCCTGGAGGACAATGCAGTTCTGTGAAATGTCTGCCTGCTTTGATAGAAACTTCCTGATCCACTGGCTTGGGTTTCTATTGGCCATGGTGGCAGCAGCAGCTGGAGCCAGGACAGAGAAATGACCTTTCCCTTCCCTCCTAAGGGAAGGGGGAAGCATCCTGGCTGTCTTGCAAAGTGATCATGAAGAGCAGTGGATGGAGACTGCCAAGCACCTGCTGGGTGCTGCGCTGCATGCATGGCTTGCTGGCAGTGTTGGGCAGTACCTGGCTCAGGCCCCACGTTCAAGGAGCTTACAGGCAGCTGGGGGTGGGATGTGGAGCTCTTGCTGAGCTCTGGGGTAGCTGGTTATGCATATTGCACCCAGGCTTTCAGGAAAGTGTGAGGTCACTAAAAGTAAACATGCTGCCCGCACCCCTATTCACCATTGCAGTGGGTCCTCATTTCCCATCAGGATCCCAGGATGCAGTCTCAGACCTGCTGTGTGTGTGTTCCAGCAAAGCACTGGGCAACATGCCCTGTGGGAACCCTGGGAGAGGACGGGAAGATGTGGGTCCATATATTACATTTGCGACACCTCATTCTAAGGAGCAATTTGACACATTAGGGTAAAGAGCATGGAGAGGTCTGGATACCATCCTGAGGTGCAGCCAAAGGAGCCTGCAAATTTACCCTGGAGAGGAGGGGGTAAACGGAGATATGGCTTGGTCTCAAATGTCTGAATGATGTTTGTCCTGGGAGAGTAATTTGATTTGTTCCATGTAGTCCCATCTGGGACTTGGGAGGGAGGATAAGGGCGAGAGCTAACACTAATGGGTAGAAGTCATTACAGCTCAACTCAAAATGAATTGCTTGTATCAGGAGCCTCCCCAACCTTGCAGTGTGCTATTTTGTAAGGTACTGAGTTCACCATTACCAGGAGCTTTAAGCAGAGCTTGGAAAAGTATGTGAAGACCCAAAGGTTTCTTCTAATTTGACTTCTCTGTGAAAAGACACAGAAAAAGCACAGCCTTGTGTGAGTGAGGAGTCAGCTTTGAGGACAGTGGGGCCTCAGTCAGGTAGAGATAGTGGGTGGCTTGCTGTTGTTGAGATCTCAGGCTTCTGGAGGTACACGTGTCAAGGTTACAGTCATATCTTTGCTGCTTATTAGCTGTGTGATCTTGGGAAGTTGTTCTGACTTTCTGAGCCTCAGTTTTCCCATCTGGGAAATGGGGAGGATAGTACTGGGCAGCACCAGGGCTGACCTCCTAGGCATGTGACCGGAGCAGTCACATAGGGTCCTATGCTTAGAGGGTTCCCTTGCTTGATCTGATGCTCTGTTGAAGCTGTCTTAAAATTCCTAATCATCTTTAAGCAACGGGCCCTGCATTTTCATTTGGCACCAGGCTGTGAATTATGTAGCTGGTTCTGGGCAGGACTCCCCATTGGATGTGACAGTAACCCAACTGAAACTGGCCAGAGCTGGCTGGAGGCTCAGTGGCATCCAGGTCATCCAGTGCTGCCGCCAGCACTCTGTCCCTCCCCATCCCTCAGCCCCACCCTCCAGGCACGCTGTCCCCAGTGGAGCCTGAGGTGGCCACCACAGCTTATACCCTCACCCCACCAGAGGGTCACCTTGGGTCACACGCCCATCCCTGAGAGGTGGAAGGTGCTAAGTGGTAGTCTGGGTCTTTACCTGCCCCTGTCAGCAAGGGACAAGGCTTCCCAGCAACATGGAGGGAGGAAGGGACAGTTAACCCTAAGGAGAGGGACTGATGTTCCAAGCGGGGAAAATGAGTGCAAAGCAGACAGAAACCACAGAGGTGGCCCCTTAGTGAACATCTCACTCTTCCCTCCCTGTTCTTTCCATGGTATTCTTAGGCTGGCCCAGGAAACCCTATCTGGAAACCCTTCCTGGAAGCACCTTAGTGAACGTCTTCTCACTCTCCCTCCCTGTTCTTTCCTGTCTCAGGAACTACCTGGTTGCCAGGGCAACCTCCCTGGCCTCCCAACACAGCCTTGTGGGCCTTGGGATTCCAAGGCATTGGCTCCAAGCTAAGCCAGCCCTTGCAGCCTGGTCCCTATGGCCTGGCTGGGTCTGTCAACCATATTCTGGGCTGGAGGATGATCTGGTGTTCCCATGGAAACCACCCAGACTCAGTGGAAACCACCTAGCTTCCATCACCTCATTTCAGGGGCCCTGAAACAGGGAAGTCTGGGCTGCTGGGGCAACCACGCGGGGGTATAAATAGAGCCTAGGTCGGTGGGGGAGGGCAGGTGAAAAGGATGTGGGAGAGGCAGCTCATGCAAATAAATGCCTCTGGGGACCCCCCTTCTTTCTATGACTGGGGGAACCATCCACTCACTGGGGAGCAGAGGTGGTACAGAGGGTTGGGGCAGAAAGACCCAAGATCTGCAGGCAGCTGTGTGACATGGGCAAATCACTTAGCTTCTCTGGGCCCTCATTAAAACTGCTCTGACCTACTTCAAGGTATGGCTATGGCCATGTGGTTTAAATGCTGGTAGAGCTTAATGGGTAAAAATGTGGGTTCTGGAGTCAGGCCTGGGTCCCACCCCAATTCTTAACATGTTGGCTGTGTGGCCTTGAGCAGGTTAATTAACCTTTCTGGGCCTCATTTTGTGCATCTCAAAAATGAGGGAACAGAGTCAATATCTAGGCTATGGTCTGCTCTGAGGACTAAAGTGAGATAATGCCCTAAAAATGCATTAGCATGGCCTGGTACATAACAAGCGTTTGATAAGAGCTACTGTTGTTGCGATTAGTTACTGACAGGAAGTTTTGTAAATTGTAGAATTCTGTGTGAATAGAAAAATGCATCATGCTATGAGTTTTATCTAGAGGAAGAAGGGCGGAGAGCATTCCCCTCCCCAGGGACTGCTGGGGAGCAGGGTGAGTTTCCCAGGTCAGCTAAGGGAGGGGTGAGGAGCCAGCGCTGCAGGGCCATCAGGAGGGTGTGGGTTCCCTGCAGGGGTCTGGTGGAAGCCCCCCTCACAGGGCTTAGCCAGGCTCTGGAAACCCTCCCTGGTGCCATTTCATAGGCACCAATTCCCCTTTCATAGGAACCAAGGGGCAGGTATGTGGCTGTCCCCTCTGCCCCCGTCCCCTCTTGAGCTCCCTGCTCTGGGGTTCCACAGTGACAGCAGGTAACCTGCCTGGGGATGGCCTTGAGCAAGGTCCCTGGGGAAGGCCAGTGGTGCCTATGTGGGGCTGGCTCGCCAAGGCCTCACTCCCAGATGGCGCTGGGCTTTTTTGCCCAGTGAGGCCCAGCCCTCAGCTCCCCAGACTGGTTTCAGGTTTGCCTCCTTTTGCACAGCTGACTTGTTCCTGAAAAGCTGCCTCTGTAGTGAGATCCTCTGTTTGGAGCCCCAGTGAGGGAGGGGTCTTTTGTCCCTTGCACCCCTCATCTGCCCTCCTTCGTATATCAGGTTTGTTCTATGGGGTTAGGGAAAAGCCAGGTGCTTCTCTCTTCCTCAGCATAGTCAGGACTGATTGTATGGGGCCCTGGGGCAGGTATGAGGATTAACTGGGATAGTGTTTGGGTGTGGGTCATATAGTGGCCACTGTGCACCTGTTCATTAATCAGGCACGCCACACTCCTACTCTGGCCAGGCTTCACCAGATACAGTCCTTGCTCCCACGGAGCTGACATTCTAGTAGAGGAGAGCAAGAATAACTCCTGAAAACAAGTGAGCATGTAATGACAATGCCATGAAGAAAATCACAGCATGCATACCCTTAACCTTGCATGGGGAGGGAGAGGGGGTAGAGAAGGGATGGTATTCTATAGGGTGGCCCAGAAAGGCCTTTCTGAGGAGGTGATGTTTGAGCAGGGAGCCCTGAAGGTAGTGGAGGAGTGGGCCATGTCAATATTTGGTGGGAAGAGGATTTTTGGCAGAGGGAACAGCAGGTGCAAAGGACCTGAGACAGGAGTGTATCTAGTATGAAGGCAGCAAGAAGCCCTGTATAGCTGAAGAAGATGAAGGAAGAACAGAGAAACAGATCTGGGAGGAGCTGGGGCCCAATGACACAGGGCTTTGAGGGCCATCAAGAGGATATTGGCATTTCTCAAAGTGGTGGGAGGCCACTGGAGGGTTTTCAGCAGCTACATGGAAATATTCATGTTTAAAGGGTAATGCCACTGCTGAGTGCCTTTTCCAGGATGCAGCATCCTTCTCTCCTGGAGAGTATTGGACACAGTTGTCACTTAGGACATGCTGCACTGACTGGCTGCTGCCTTGTAGGGCAGGAGTGGTTGGCCCTGACTGCGTTGGGCTTAGCATGTGACCAGCACAGGGCTGGTACCCAGGAAGTGCTAGGAAAGTGGTTGGAATGAACAACAAATGCATTTGAACTCTGAGCATGTCCCCAGGGTTTGGGGTCGCAGAAGGTGGGGAGAGGGGCAGTTTAAGTAATGTGACCAGAGGTGGGGCACAGGTTTCAAGAAATCTGACCTTGACCCTTTCTCTCCCCTCTGTAGGTGAAGCAAGAGATGGACAACATCGTGGCCAAGCTTATTCAGAGCTACAAGGACAATCACGAGGACAGATTGCAGGAGGCCTGGGACTATGTGCAGGCTCAGGCAAGGCGGGATGAGGGACGTGGGGTAGCGTGAGGTTCCTGGCTGGTGTGTGTCTGTGTGTCTGACCATGGGTTGCCCATTTGCCTGTGTATGCCTGACAGAATGTGCCAGTGAGCCTTACGTGAGCATGCATCTGTTGGGGGCAGGGTGCCCCTGAGCAGTCCACCTACCTGGCCTCCAGCCATCACCACAGCCCCTTGCTCAGCGGGCCCAGGGTTTTGGAAGCTGCCCCATGGCCCACAGCCTATGGCCAGAGAGAGAGGGGATAGCTCTCAACCCTCTCATCTCAAGCCAGGCTAGGGGTATTGAGGGCTCCACGGGTGGGTTAAGAAACTGGTGCCAAGGCTGATATGCTGACGTAAACCTGAGTGGAGGCTCCCTGGGAGAGCATTTACTGGGGATGTGCCTGTGGAAACCTTATGGAGTGAAAGGAACTTTCTGTCCAGGTCTTCATCTGAGTGATGTTAAACCAGTACTGTATGTAAAAATTCATCAAGCTGAATTTGTGTACTTTAGTGTATATGTATATTCCACATCAAAGTGAGAGAGGCAGACCGACTGAGTGACTTAACAGACAGAATGACTGGCAGAAAGGCTGGAAGACTGATGGAATAAATGGATGAGTGACTAAATGACTGACAGACAGACTGACTGACTGACTGACCAGGTCCCCAGCCTGCCTTGATGGTGAACCAATCACCTCACACACAGATTGGCTTCTGTTATCAGGTCTCAGCTGCCCCTGTTTTGTGGTCCCAGGTGTCATGTGCTCTTGGCCAGGACCCATGGTCTCTGGGCCGCAGCCTCCTGTCCTGCAGTCTCAGCCCTGCTGGCACTGATGGCCTGCCACCTTGAGGGAGGGCCCGGGCAGCAGGAGAGAGCCTGGTGCCTCAGCATCAGGAGACAGGACTAGGTCCAGGTCATATGGGCACACTTCCGTTTTCTGAGCTGTGAAAAGGATAGGGTGATGTTTTCTGGACTATGCACTTCACAGATTTTTGTGGTGAGGATCAGATGAGGCTAGGTCAGGCCCTGTGTTAGCCATTTTTATCATACCTTTAGTTTGACTCACAACTGCTGTGACCCTTGGCTAAGATTCGAGGGCGATGGACCTCCTGAAATGAACAAGTGCCGCCTTCACAGCCTGTGGTGGGGGCAGGAGGTCCCTTGGGAGATAGTGAATGCTTCCCCGTGGGAGATGGTTGGTGGGTTGAGAGATTCCTGCAGTAGGCAAGGCCTCTGGATGATTGTGATGTCTGTCAGATGCTATTTGGATTGGTGTTTAAGAAGACAGACTGTGTGTCAGGCCCCTGAAGGCTGGAATACAACCTCTGCCACTTCCTGGCCAGATCTCTGAGCCTCAGTTTCCTCATGGGGCTGTTGAGTCATGCTCCTGTAAGATGGATGTATAAAGCCTGTAGCACTTAGACAGAACTTACCAGGTGACATGTTGGTGGTGATTTATTATTCCTCATGCACAACCACTGAGATGGGGTGAGTAGCCTGGAACAGTGGTACTGTCTGAGCAGGCGGTCCCAGAGAGGAGGGCTCTGCCAGGTGGATTAGGAGGCCCAAGGAATGCTGTCTCATTTATTTGAGTATGGAAGGGCCTGTGGGTGCCCCTCAGACATGCTGGTCTTTCTGCCAGAGAGGAGGCAGCCAGGCAAGTGCAACAAGAAAGTAGAACCTGGGCTACAAACTACTGGAAGTAGGAGGCCTGAATGAGTCTGGCACGCCCCCTGCTGGCCAGTGGGCTGCTTGTCTGGATGGGAAGGAAGCCCGTGGCCAACTGACCCTGTCTGGTCACGCTGGCACACGGCTCGCCCATCCTGGCCTGTTAATCCTCCCAGGGACCTCAGCATAGTGGCTACCGCCATCCATTCTCTGAGTGAGGAAACTAGGGCTCAGAGAAGTGCAGCGGCTTGCCCATGTGCAAGACAGGGCCAGAATTTGGAAGGAACCTCCTCTCACTCCACTCACCTTCCAGGGACATTTCTGAGACAAGCTTAGTCCCTAAGACCCCAGTTCTGTCGGGAATTCAAGTCCAGATGTGACTTGCATCCTCCTGGGGTCCCTTCATAAGCCCCATGGAGACCCTTTCCAGCACATAGAACTCAGAAAGGCTTTCTTCCCCTCTGCAACTAGAGCATTTCCTCCTCTAAAAAGGTAGAATTGACCGTGTCTCCTTTTTCACTTTGGCAATCAGAAAGTTCAGAAGCAGAACTCAACTCCAGCATGTGCACAGCACCTGAAAGTGGAATTGGCCTTCCCTGAGCAATTCTCTGCTTTCCAGCTAGATGCTTTGCCTGACACGTCCCCACGTAGTCCTTGTAACAGCCCTTTGAGTGAGGAACCTTTGTTGCCTTCATCTTGCAGATGAGGAAACTGAGGTTCGTACATTGACCAAAGTTGAGTAGCTGTAAGCAGAGCTGCAGGCAGAGCTGGTATTTGAACCCCATAGTGTGACTCCAGACCCTTTATGCTCTTACCTGTACATCATCTGCCCTCGTGGCCCACACATCTGTGTTCTATCTTTCAACTTGAATGTTCCTTCTGTTCTGCTTTATATTTTGGCTGCTCTTGATTTTTGTTCCCTCCTGTATTAATAGTTTCTGGCATGTGTTTCCTGAGAGCCCCTTTAAATTCCTTGGGGCTCACCTAAGCCAAAGTCAAACCCAGACTCTACTCCTGGTGGCTTGGTGGGGGGCCTGGAAGTGGCAGAGCTGAGCCTGTCATTGGAAGGCCCCACCTCTGCCAGGAGGATGGTGGGTGCAAGCAGCCTGTCCCCCACTTGGCGCAGGTGAAGTGCTGCGGCTGGGCCAGCTTCCACAACTGGTCACACAACGTGGAGCTCATGAATCGCACCAATATCACCTACCCATGTTCCTGTGAGGACAAGGGGGATGAGGACGCCAGCCTCCCAGTGAGGAAGGGCTTCTGCGAGGCCCCCCGTGGCAACAGAACCCAGACTGGCAACAACCTGGATGACTGGCCTGTGTACAACGAGGTGTGTGGTGGGCTGTGGGCTGGGGCTGGGCTTGGGGCACCCCCCAGGCTCCCCTTAGCTGTTCCTGCATTTGATTAATTTGTTGGCTTGTCATTTGTCCTTCATCTCCATATTCATTGATTTTTCCACTCAAGGAACACCCAGAGCCCTCTCTGCAGGCCCTCGGGGCTGCGGGTGGCCTCTCCTGATGACTCTGCTTGGTGCGGTGAGGCAGCATGACATGGGGTGACGTAGTCATGTTCTCCCCTTGTAGGGCTGCATGGAGAAGGTGCAGGCTTGGCTGCAGGAGAATGTGGGCATCATCCTAGGCGTGTGTGTGGGCGTCGCTGTGATTGAGGTCTGGGTCCCCTACCCTCCTGCCCTCCCCATGCTCTGTCCTCCCAGTTGTCCCTTCTCTGCTGATATTCTTGGGGAGGGAGGCTGCAGCCCATCAGCTTCTAGAGGCCCTGCTGCAACCTGGCCTGACCACTGTTCCTCCCTGGGCCCCTCTGCCACCTGAATTGCAGGCTGGTTGTAAGGTTCTAGTTGCAGATCAGCTCAGTCAGGATCAAACCTCATGTGTTGACCTGGATAGTGAGGGGCTACCCTGGGGCCTCTGGGGCACTAGGCAGCCCTGCCTCCCTCTGACTCTTGTCCCCTCTCTTGATAGCTCCTAGGGATGCTCCTGTCCATCTGCTTGTGCCGGCACATCCACTCTGAAGACTACAGCAAGGTCCCCAAGTACTGAGGCAGCTGCTGTCCCTACTCCGTGCCCACCCCTCAACCACCGGCCTCCTAGGGGTCTTCCTGGCTCCCTCCTCCAGGCCCACCTTCCAGCTTACTACCCCTTTCCCATCCTGTGCTGGCTGGAAGTGGGGGGCTTTCTGGGGCCTGGACCCCTCTCCCTGCCTTTCTGCCTCCAACCTTGAGCCCCAGCTGTTTGGTGGCTCCTCCGCTCACTGCCCACCTGGGCTCTCTTAGCAACTCAGACAAAACACTGTCTGCAGCATCCCTGCACAGGTGGGCTGGGCTCTACCTGCCTTGGAGGCTGTATATATTGCAGGGGGGCAAAGTGTATTAAAAATGGGTGGGAGGTTGGATAAGGCACCCTGCACTTTCAGGGGACTGCCCACTGCGTGGGTAAACTTTTTTTCCATTTAATGCATATATCTTTGGTTTTCAGATTTTCATTGAAGGTAGTGGGAGAGGGTGGGCTTCACCTGACATTAGAGCAGCCCCTCTTCCCCAGACCTGATCCAGCCCCAGCAAGGCAGCTCAGATAGGCCTAGGCTATGCCGTGGGGGCAGGGCCTAGGTAAGCTGGGTCTGAACTAGCCCTGGGTTGCTTAGGGGATCAGAAGAGTGAACCCCTGAAGCATGGCACAGAGCTGGCCGGACATTTTCCAGGACCCTGAACTGTCCAGCATGTTTTCTCCTGAGAGAAGCTTGGCTGGTTTGACCTGTGCCCCCTAGGGGATGGGCAGGTGAGGGCTGTGCCTTTTAGGGAAGTGGGGAGGGGCTCCGTCAGTTCTGTGAAACATGCTCCAAGATTTGATGACTGACTATTAAAGAGGATCTGTAACAATCCAGCTTGCTGCAGTGAGGGTGCTGTTTGCCGGGGTGGGGAGGACAAAAGGGAGAGAGAGCTGCCTCCCCCAGCAGTGAGGCAAGAAAGGGCAGTAGAAAGGAGGCGTTTCAGCAGAACCCACCAGGTGGCGCTCCTGCCCCAGCCTGGGAGCCTGGCAGTGCCCAAAGATCATCAACTCCGGGCACCTCACCAACTCCAGTCTCTTGCTGGAGTGGGAACACTGGTGAAAATACAGATTACAGGTCTTGGGAATTCTGACGCAGCAGATCTGTGCTGGGGACAAGGAACCTGTATTTTTAGCAGTCCTCCAAGATGATTTCCTGAATCATGTTGCTTTAGATTCCCAGGCCCTGATAAGATGCAGCTATAGATGCTCCCTAAAGGGAAAAGTGGGGGTAGGGGAGGGCCGGGGAAAAACAGCCTTGTCCTTAGTGAGGAGGCAAGGGGAGGGGGGCACCTCTGTGGGAGTGCTGGGCACAGACTGGAAAAGTCTTATACTCCATGTGGTCTCTTCTCTGCCCCAGAGACTCTCCCTGGAGCTTTTATCATGTTCAAAGAGGGCTACAATGATATATTCCAACTTATTTCATTTATAACAGAAAGCACATATAATAAAATATAAAACAGGGAAAATATAAATTTATGAGGAAGCATAGACATGGGTAAAGTAAACACAGCTGAGTTGCCCAACCTGGTGATGGCAAATGCATGCATGCTGCACACATGTGTGTACTCCATGGCAGTGCTCAGACCAGACATCACTAGTTGATCACCATCCTCATTTCCTTAGCCAAATGTGCCCTGGCCATGCTTATGGCCAGCATCACTCATTGCAGCCTCAGAGTCTTTCTCAGCTCAGCACCATCAATCAGTCTGGTTAGAAGGCAGAATAAAAGCAGGTTTCATCCTTGAACTCTAGTTGTTTAGTTGAATCATGTATAATTTTACCTCTGAGCTTCCTGGTGATCAAAGAAGAAAAAGGGAAACTTTTGGGTTTTCTTGGTATTGGCTTTTGTTTCTCAAGGTTTCCTTAGCTTAGCTATTAGAAGGACTGTGGCTGGATGGAAGCTAGAATTCAAGACCATCCCCCAAACACACAAACCTTGATAACCCTTCACTACTGGGACAAAAAGCATAAATGAGCCTACTGTGTTCCAGACCCTTGTGTTGGCATTGAGGACAGAAACTGTGCCATCTGCCAAGGGGGAACTGGGAAGACCCAGTGTATTCGCACAAAGCAATTGGGCAACATTTTTACCTAGTAGTTTGTGCTTAAATAGCACTTGTTCTGTACTAGTCCCACTGGCATATGTTAACTGATTTGCTCACTGCAATCCTATGAGGTATGTATTCATTATTATCCCCATTTTACAGATAAGGACAATGATGAGCAAGAGGTTAAGTACTTTCTCAGCATTCCGCTGTTGCTGAGAGGAGTGGAGCCACCCTAGGCACCGGGTTGCACAGGTTCCAGGCTAAGGTGGTACTGCTGCTGAGGTGCAGGTTGGGAGCTGCCTCACATTTGCTGTCTGCCTTCTCTGACCCACAGAAGAACTCATGGGCCACCTCCCATCCCAATGTTGGACTTGCAGCAGGGAAGAGGCTGAGTAAAGAAGCAAGGCTGGTATCTGACTAAGGACTGGGGTCTCTGGTCAGAAAAGGAGAATCTGGGGCTGAATCTGGACTCAGAGCTATGTGGGGTGGGATGGGTCTGATTCCTGTGACAGTTGCACATGGCCAGGTCTGGGAGGTTTGTGGTCACCTATCCCCTTGCCCTGAGAAGAGGGGCAGACCTGAGTTGGAATGAAGACACAGGTGCTTTTCAGCCATGTGACCCCTGGCAAACTCTTTCGCCTCTTGGAGCCTCCCTTTCCTCATCTGAACATGGCTGTTGACAGGATCGTGGGAGGCTCAGTTGTGTGAAGGATGTAGAGCCCTCAGCCTGGCCCCTCAGGAACCTCAAACCAGAGTAAGCAACAGTATCCCTTGGCTTTGCCCATCTCACAGCACTCCCAGCTGAGCAGACATCTTTTTGGTGTGTCTGAGACTATGGCAGTGGGGGTCCTACAGTGGGTGAGGGTCTGCAGGAGGTGGGGACTGAGGAGCACAGGGCACTGTGGGCAGTGGCAAGAGAGCGTGGGCTTCCCTGCCCTTCTGCAACACCTGCAGGGTGAGCTCCAGGTGTGAGACCTGGGGAGGGCTTAGCATGAGCGGGGCTTGGGTGCTCCAGATGGCCTGCCCAGGCAACCTCTAGAGTTGGGAATGATACCCAGCATGGGGCCAGCAAGCATATGAGCACAGAGAAACTGGCCGCCACTCTCTTCCCCCATTCATGTCTCTGCTCCCCACCCCCAGGCCTAGTGGGTGGGAAGAATGAGGGTGCTGGGATGGTTCAGGAGGCTGAGAGCCCCTCCCCATGAGCACCACTGATTTTAGCTGGCCAAGAACAGAACATGAATTAAAGTCTGGATGGGTCAGGCCCAGCTGCCTGGGGATTTGGGGCTGAAGCTGTGAGTCCTGAGAGGGTGAGGGGCAAGGGAGAGCTGAGGTAACCCCTGCCCTGGGCCACCTGCCAACCTCCACCCTAACTGGGACCTGCTGAGGGGCGTCAGCTGTTGGTCCCCTCTCACCTCAGCCACCTCCCTCTCAGGCAGGTGGGGGAGGAGCATGAGGGTGCAGAAGGCCTACCTGGCCTATCCTCACAGACCCTGTCATCCTGATGGGCCCCCAGAGCCTCACCCTCAGGATGGCTCTTCATAAATGCCTCATCAGGAGCCGGGGGCCTGGCTCTGAGTCTGTGACTCTAGGCCACAAGTGTGCAGGTGGGCTCAAAGCTGTGTTTGCAAAACACTTCAGTGAAGACTGAGAAAAGGGGTAAAGTTTTCTAAGGGGTGGGCTAAATCCCCCAGTCTGCGTCTACCCTGTGAGGCACGTCCCAGGCCTCCAGCCAGGACTGGAACAGCACTCATCGGACCCTGAAGATCTGCCTCCCATCACCCCGGATTTCCTGGGATGATCCTGGGGGTGTGTTTTGTTGTTGGACCAGGGACTCAACTTTTGTGAAATCTGGTCCCAGGAAGCACTGAGCCTGCAGGACCCTCCCTCCTACCTCCTGGGGAGGACCCAGTTCCTGCTGTCCTCTGGGCCTCTCAGATCCCACAGGGAGGGAGCATAGTCTGGCTTTTTGAATTCCTGAACTGATCTCTATAGCCAGTCATCCATCCCAGCTTACCTGGGGCTTCTGTCCCTCTTGCCTCCCTCCCTGGGCTGCTGGGCCAGCTGAGCTGCTACCGGGCCTTCTGCTGGGGGTGGGCCTCCCTCCGGCTGCCATCTCTCCCACCAAGGTCCAAGCCAGGACATGCTGCTCAGAGGACTTGCACATGGGCCCCACCATGGCCTCGCTGCTGAACCAGCGGGAGGAGGATGCAAGGGTGCCCCTGGGTGGTACCCACCCACAGCAGCCCGGGGGGAGCCAATGGCAGTGAGCAGGAAGGGAGGCTGTGTGGCATGGACACTGACCAGTGGGAATGGAAGCCAGGTTTGAGTGGGAAGAGGGGGTTCTTCTGTGTGGATTGGCAGGAGGTGCAGGGCTCTTAGGGGTTGGGCTGGGGGAATTGTCAACCAGCAGAAATATTTCAATATTTTAATAACAGTCATGGCTGTATGGGTGAGTACTGCTGAATGTCAGCATGTGCATGTGTGCGCGCGCACACACACACACACACACACACACAAGCCCTGAGACTCCCTGAGGGCTCAGTCCATTCTCAGCTGTGAAGGACCCCAGCTCTTCTCTCAGCCTTAGCTGCAGGTGGCTGGCAGTGGGCAGGAAAGGCTAAATGTGTTCTGGACTGGACTTTCGAGGCTCACCCTGGCAGAGCATCCCAGCTGCTGACCTCAATCCTATGTCCCAGCAGAGCTCCTTCCAGCCTCCACCCTGGCGTCTTCCAGGGGAGTCCCGCAGGCTGAGGAGCAGCATGGGGAAGGGAGTCACTAATGACACTGGAGTGTCCAGCCACCCGGCATCTCCTGGGCCAGGACTGCCACCACCACCTTCACCTTCACAGGAGATACTCAGATTGCTACACTGTCTTGGAACAAATATCTGGCAGCTCTTTGAGGCCTTTGTAACCTGTGAGTTAAGGGTTGTTCACTCATTCATTCATTCATTCATACCATAAATACTTCATGGACACCTACTATGTACCAGCTATGGAAGCAGCGTGTTATGTATGCTACCTCATTTAATTCCCACAATAGCACACTGAGAGTTAGATCTTGCAGTCCCCATTTCACAGATGGGACTCAGAGAGGTAAAGTCACTTGGCCCACCAGCCCTAAGCACAGCTCTTGAGAACAGAGCAGTGAAGGCAAACCCCTGCCCATGTGACATTTGTGTTCTGGTGAATACAGGGGATCCCACACACTCACCTGCCCATACACACGCCCAGACACGCACACGCACCTTGTTCAGGTGTACATAAACACGTCTGCTGACAGCACAGTCCACTCCAGGAGCTGCTGGGGGACCCCTGGGGCCCATCCAAGGATGCTGGCATCCTGTGGAAGGAAGCAGAATCATGAGCGGCAAGCGGACAAACAGGAAAGGGGGTGGAAGCTCTCACACTCAGCCCCTTCCCCTCCAGCCTCACTCCTCGGGAACCGGCCATTCCCCTGCAGCCCTCTTCCCAACAGAAACAAATCAGATCAAATCACCCCTGTGCTCGGGGCTTGGTGGGCCAAGTGACGTCACCTCTCTTAGTCCCATCTGTGAAATGGGGGCCGTAATAACTAACTCCCAGTGTGTTATTGTGGGAATTAAATGAGGTAGCATACATAATGAGCTGCTTCCAAATGCAGCCTATTCCCATGACAGTAGGACTTCCCTGGGATTGCCCATGCCCTGGGGGTGGCTCTCTGTGGATGGAACAGGCAGGCAGAAGAACTTTGGGGCCTCCAGAGCACTACTGGTTGGTCCCAGAGGTTGGGATTAGATCAGGAAGGAATCTGTGCCTAGCCCCCTGCCAGGTTGGGCAGAGCCTCCTTCCTCCTGGGGCAGGTACAGCAGGTAGGAGGGGCTGAGAGAAGACATCTGAGCAGTGAACACCCCCACCCCCACCTCAGCTGCTCCCTCTGAAGTCATTTCCCCAGCACCTGCCTTCTGGGCCAGGGCCATGTCAGGCTTAGAGCCAAGCCCCTCCCGCTGCCCCATAATGTCACCTCAGATGATTCAAGTTGGCCCTCTGGAAACAGGAATGGGCTTCCTGTATGATACTGGGGGAGCAGGGGCACAGACTAGCCCCCAGACAGCTGAAGGGGCAGGAAGGATGGAAGGCAGGAGCTGGAGAGGCCCTGATAGCCTGTTGGAGGGCTGTGAGGGTCAGGGGGTGCTGTCGCCACTGACAGGAGTTGGTGGGTGTAGCCTCTGCCTCTGCATCACACTCCTGGGTGAGCCCAGTTTGAGCTTCCAGGGTGACAGCAACATGGATCCCAGCAGCCAGTCTTCATGGTCCTGGTTTACGGAAAACTCAGGCCTTAGGAGCCCGGAGGTGTCCTTGTCCTGGGGTCTGTTAGGATGGGAGGAGAGGGGCCCTTCCCCAGAGAGGTAGGCTCTGAACCCAAGGGAGCCCACAAAGAGGAAGGAGGGAGGGCAGGAGTGAGAACAATGCTGTGAGCAGGACCTCAGCCAGAGGAGGAGCTGGGAATGAGTTGGGCCAACTCTGCAGGGCATGTTGCAACTCGAGCAACAAGAGAAGGGACAGGTAGAGGAGAGAAAGGGACCAGCAAGAAGACAGGACAGGAAGCCAGCTCCCCAGGCATCATCACCATCATCATCATCACAGCAGCCACCATTTACTCAGTGTTTACCTACCTTGGACCCTAACATCCTAGCTAGGTAGATATGATTGGCCCCCTAACCCTCTTTTGGTTGTAGAAACCCAGACTTAGAAAAGCTAAATTGCTTGCTGCAGGCCTGCCCCTCTGCACAGCTCTACTAGGAGTCATTCACACTGTAGTCTAAATAAATGGTTCCCTCTGGAGATGGCAGTGAGCAATCAGTTTGACCACACAGGACTGCTTCATGTCCATGGTTACACAGTAGTGAAGAGGCTGGGATTGGACCCTGAGGCCTGTGGCTGTGTCCAGGGCCCTTTCTACTAGACCTCAAGGCCAATGGGAATAAAGATTGCTGTTTCAGAAAAGGAGTAGAGGAGATGGGCCCTTTCTGAGGAGGATCCACTCAATTAAATCTGACATCCTATCAATCCATGCAAAAACTCTTGGGTACCACTCTGTGCCAGCCACTGTGGAAGGAATCAGGGTTCACTTAGGTGAACAAGGCTCCTGATGTCATGAAGCTGACAGACTATGTGGGGGACAGCCATTAAACAGACATAAACCAGATAATTTACCCTGTGTCACAGACAGATGAGCAAGACCCTGTTTCTGCCTGCCAGTAAGTGCGCAGAAGACAGAAAAAGCCTGTTCCCAGACTGGCTGTTGTTTCCTGATGTCCTCATTGCCTGGGGCAATGCGGGGGCTGTCCATCCATGAGGAGGCTGGCTGGCCTAGAGTCCAAAAGGACGCACAGGAACTAATTCAAAAACGAATACAAATCAGAACCAGGCACCTCCTACCTGTGGGGGAACTGAGTTGGCTTCCTGTTCATTCAATGTGAGCAGGAAAACCTTTTCCTTGTGGCCCAGGGAAACTATCTGTAACTTGTGATGGTCTTGAACATCTCATCGTGATAGTTGAATGAGTCAATTTAGTGGACAGCTGGGGCACCCCATGTGGAGGGGTGTCCAGGGGTGCTCTGTGTATTTTCTTTCTTTGAGAAACTAAGAGGGCAGGGACTCTATGAGGGCTCCACAGGGAATGCAGGTCCCCAGGTCCCCATGACACCATGTGTGGGATGCATGTGGCTGGCTGTTCTCCATCTCCTAAAGGTAAAGGATTTTCAAGATAGTCACCTGGCTCTGAGCAGGGGTAAAGAATGGAGTCATGAAGCCATCTGGGAGAGCAACAGCTTTGTGGCTGGTGTCACAAGGCAGAGAGAGCAGCTAAGATGGGGTCACTACACTGGGAATCAAGAGATCTGGTTCCTGTCTCAAGTGTCCCATGTGGTCACTTAATCCATTGTTTGCAGAAATGGTCACACAATTCCCCTTCCTGTATCAATGCCACTATAGCATGACTGTGCATCTGGCCCGTCTCTGAATTTTGTCTGGCCTTGTGATTCACTGTGGCCAATAGAATGGAAGGGGATGGACAGTGGGCCGGTTCTAAACTCAAGTTTTGTGCCCTTCCACTCTGGCTCTCCAAACCCTGCCAATTTAGCCTCCTGGAGGATGAGGCAAGTGGCCCAGTCACCTTGGCACTCAGCTGGCACTAGCCTACCCTTGAGAACAGAGCCACTTCACTCACCTACAGTCCACCACACTGCATATTCATTAGCTAAATCAATGGTAGTAGTTTTAGACCCCTAATTTGAGGGTAGTTACTATACAGCCGTAGCTAACTGATACAATGACCTTCGATAATAATAGTGACAGCTATCATTTGAAGTGGACCTACTGGATGCCTGGCCCAGTTCCAAGTTCTTGACATAGACAACCTCATTTAATTCTCCCAGCAGCTCTGAGAGTTGGTATTCAGATCCTCACTTCATAGACAAGTAAATGGAGGCTTGGAGAAGATGTGCGCCTCATCTATGAAGGCCTAAAGAATAAGAGGAACCTAAAGAACAAGATTAGAACCTCAAGTCTGTCTTCATGGACTCGTCCTGAATCTCCTTCCCAGACAAGCCTCAATGTCAGAGAAAGCCAGCAGCACTAGAGAGTGTGTCATGTATTCTGCGCACAGGAGCTGATGTCATTAAGAATGTTCTCAGCCTTCCATTCCCCAAGAATTATGCCATATCTCACCCTGCTCTTCTCTCACCCTGAGCCAATGCCTCTAATTCCAGTGGGCTTTTAGAAAGAAAAAGGCACAGATAATGGAATCATTTATTTCTTTTTTATTACCCTTTCTATTTAATCAGCAAGTATATGTATTAAGGACCTGTAAGTATGCCTGTTGCCATAGTGTTCTTTCGTTTGTGACATTTCCTGGAGCCCTACTGTGTGCCAGGCCCTCAGTGTCTGTAATCCTTACAGCAACACTGGGGTCATTAAGATCATCCCCATTTTAAAGACAGGAAAACTGAGGTTCTAGAGAAGTGAAGTGGCCATGCTGAGGCCACCTAACTAGTAAGTGGTTAGGACAGGATTCCCTTCTAGGTTTGGCTCAAGTCAGGCAAGGCCTCTTCTTACTCTATTATTACAACTGTGGGTTTTTAAAAAAGGGATTTTGAAATTTCCTCTGGGTTCTGTGTATAGCAGGTAGGGGGCTGGGAGGCTGAGAGGAGAAAGAAAGGGTAGTGCAGGTGTTAGAAAATGTTCCTTGACTCCAGGAGCTGACGGCCTCCCTGCCATGATGCTCAGGCTGTGGGTAGTGATGTGAGTGAGAGCAGGCCAGGAGCAGGGCGTGGAGAGGTAACCACGGGCTCCAGCCTGCTCTCCTCGTGTCTGCAGTTGACAAGCCACAGCCATCCTTTATCCTCACCGCCAGCCCTGCCCCTCCCTTTAGCCGCTGGACTGCAGCCATCCACCAGCACCAGGCACTGGGCACCATGCCCTTCCCCTCCTGGCTGTGCTGTTTACAAGTGTGGGATTCAGGGACAGTCTGGGCTATCTTCTCCTCCCAGAAGATCACACTCCTGGGATGGAGGCTTAGCTTCAGGCCTCTCAAGACTCTCTGAGTCCAGCCCCTGCCAAGGCTGCCTTCTCCAGGCTGGCAGCAGGCCCCACCCAGGAGCCCTTGCCAATCAAAATCGAGCTGCAAGAAGCCTTTGCCTGGCTCAGGGGCTTTAGCAGGTGTGTGCGTGCGAGCAGGAGGGGTACAGAGGTGAGTGGCTAAGAGGCCTGAGGGTCGTCTAGGCATTGGGGGCCTGGTATCCCACAGCCACTCATGGCTGCCTTCCCCTGGGGCAATGTGGTTGCTGGGAAGATCCCTGCACTGGCTGAGAAGCTTAGACAAGTCACTCAACCTCTCTGGACCCCCTATCTCCTCATCTTTCAATTGGACGAGAAGTCTCGCAGCCACATACTGTACAGACACTAAAAACTAACATTTAGTAAGTGCTTGGCACTTTGCACACATTATCTTAGTCATTCTCCCAAACAACACTAAGACCTAAGAATCCTTAGCATCATCCCCATTTTATGGATGAGAAAACAGGCTCAGTGGGGTTAAATAACTTGCCCAGAGTCACAGGTGGTGAGTGGGTGGCCAGGGACTCAGCCTCAAGGTTGCTGGCCTCCTTTGTTGAGGGAGGTGACACTTACAAATGCCTGGACATCCTGCCAGATCCATCAGCTGCTGGTCAGGTGGTGCTCCCACACTTGCCTGCCTGATGTCGCACGATGCTGCCCCCCTAGAACTCCCTTGGTGCCCTAAGCTCATCTGCTGTGCTCTCCCCTCAAAAGTGAGTACTGCTTGCTTCTCTGGCCTCAGCTCCCTCTGTTCTTTGCCTAACCCTGCCCCTCCTTCAGATCAGCCTTCTGGGAGCTTCCCTGACCACACCCATATACAGCACGGTGGCCTTGCTGTTCCTTCCCACGGCTTCCTCCTCCAGAGGCAATACACACAACCCTGTCTCCTGTCTGCCCACACAGAGGCCACAGGTTCAGATCCAGACTCTGCCCTCCCAAGAGGTATGACCATCAGCAAGTGGGTTAACCTTTATTTCCTCCTCTCAAAAGTGGGCATAATAGAGGTCCCAACTTCACTGCCACAAGGCCTGTATGAGTTAGCACATGTGCAGGCTTAGGACCACTGCTTGATGAGAAACAAGTTCTCAATGCCTGATTCCAGGTGTCGTTTTCCCCATCAGATCTCTCCTGACAATAAATTGTAATTGGTGGTTAGGTTTGTGTCTTCTCTGCTGAACTCTAAGTTCCATGAAGGCAGGGGAGGTTTCTGTCTTGTTCCATGCACTTCCCCCAGCCTGGAGCATAATGCCTGGCACAAAATGGGCAATTAATACCTACTTGTTGAATGAATGAATGAATGCATGAATGAATATAATGAACCCCATTCTCAGTGCCACAGTGAAATAAGGTACTGCAGAAAAGAATTCAGGCAACATTCCTTAGAACAGTGCCTTATACTTGCCTGATTTGACAATCACTTGAGCCTTTTCTTAGGAATCTTGATTACAGGCTCACCCTTAGGAATTCTGGCTCCTTTGGTATGAGGGGTCATGATGGGAAAAGAGCCACAGTGGAAGCTTGGGGTCGAGAACAGGTCAGTGGCATGCCCCTGCTGAGGAAATGAAAGGGCCAGGTGGCAAGAGAGGAGATTTTGTTCACAAGATTTTGTTGTTGTTGTTGTTACTAGGAATTTATTTAAAAACAAACTTCTGGATCCATAAGTAAGTTCAGAACAATTTCTTATTTTCACATTTTTAGGGCTGTATTAGAATTGATATTCACAGTAAAATTCTGTGTCATCCAGAGATAGAGGATTTTAATGAACTATTAAACTATCCTTCAGTATTTTGAATTTACTAATACAGTAATACATATGGGCAGTTTTGAAAAACTGACCTGGTGCAATAGTCAAAACAAAAAGGTGTTCTGTTAACTACAAGATGTAAGTAAAACACCTTTTTTGAGCACATACTTATTTGAGGTTTTATGTTCACAAGATTTTTTTGGAAGGAGATCTGGTTGGGGGTTTGCTTGGATTCCCAGCCCTACAAAGAAGGAATGGTGGGAGTACCTGCCTCTCTCTGGAGCTTGGTCAGAGGCTTCCCTGTAGACCACAAGATATGGTAACCTGTGTCTACAGCAGGTTGGGCACACAGTGGCCTGGACATAGTTGGCCCCTCCCTTTGGAGAAAATCTAAAAGGGCCAGAAAGGGGCTGCTCCCTGGTAGGGATGAATGGAAGGAGGTATCTCTGAGGTGGGAAGGTTTGATTTGAGTATACAATGCTAGTGTGTTTCCTATGATCCAAATGAGGGCCTGGTCTGCCAAGGTGTTTCACAAGATGCTGGATATGCTCATCACCATCGTCATCAGCAGGGTTACGTGGTCTCGGAAATGTGGGGAACAATAAACAGAGTCTGTGCAGACCTAGAAAACCAAAGGCAGATTGGAGCACAGCCATGTGGACAAGGCACATGATCCATGTCATGAGACCTCCAGCTGAATGTTCCCAGGTTGGGAGGGGGCCTGAGGACCCCAGAGTCAGTTCTACCCTCTCCAGGGCCCTGTGAGCAGAAACCAGCTCACACCAGTGAAGTAAAAGCCTTTCCTTCCTTCCCCTCCACCTCTCTCCTTCGCTCTCTAGGCCCTAGCAGACTCCAAAACTGCAAATAGCAAGATGAGGGAAGAGGAGCTGAGGAAGGAGGGCACACACAGGGTGCAGGAAATTTAAACCCCCTTCTCCAGCTTGCTGTCTGCATAGACAGCAAGCGCAGAAGTATTAACTGTAAACCAGGTTCAAAGATATGACGATTACCTGGGACCAGATGCTTTTAATTGTTAACCTGACTCTGTGTTTGCAATTTAAAGTGACGTAAGAATTTTTGTCACCTAACAGAGGTCAGAAAACTTGTGGGACTGCCCAAGTTTTCATCCAGAAACAGAACAGGAAGAATGTCCTCCTGTGAATTAATCAGAAAAAGATACCAGGAGACAGGAATAAGGTTGCTTCCAGCTTGCTATCATGGGTGTAGATCTGCTTCTCTTCCTAAAATGTGAGGATCTTGAGGGCAGGCCCTGCCAGATTCAGCTCTGTCCCTCCAGCACCTGGCCACCTGTACATGGTAATTTCCTCCTTTCCTTCCACCTGACCCTGGGTGTTCAGAGGGGCGGCATCAGGCACCTGGGAGGGTAGCTCTAGATCTTATAGAGGTGGACAGAGATTCAGCCCATCCCTGCTGGCCTCTCTGTCAGTCATATAAACCATGCAGTTCATCAAACAATGAGGGAAATAAAAGGCCATACCATCAGACAGTTGAGCATCCATCAAGGGATGACTGGCTGCCAGCCTTGCTGGTCAGACAAACAATCTGATGATTACTCTATATTCAATCTGATGAAGTCCTCTCAGGACTCTGAGAACATCTGTCTTTTCCTGGAGGACCCTCCCCACCCCCCTGCCCAGGAGGCCTAGTCCTGGGTGCTCCTGGCATGGTGCCCAGTCCTGATCATTGTCTTGGCAGCCTCCTAGCTGCTGGTTCCAGTGCTTCCCCTCCTCCTTCCTCTCCCTCCTGAAGTGGGAGCTTCAAGCTTTGCCAAAGCATTACTAAGAGTGGGGGTGACGTCACCCTCTCTAGTCCCACCCCACCCCCGGCCTCACTTACCCTTCACCCTTGGCTGGCCCTGAGAATATGACACATCCTGCCTGAATAGGGGAGGGGGCTCCCCTTGGGATGGATGGTGAAGGTCCTCAGCCCCAGGCTCAGCACACTTAAACTGCCCTGTCCCCCCAGCTGGAAGCTGCTGTGTCTTGCTGGAGCAGCCTGGTCCCAGGGACTGGGCCAGACAGATCCAAATGCACACTGATTGCCTCTTCTGCGCACCACCTGAGTGGCCCTAAATAAAGGCCTTTACCTCCTTGGGCCTCATCTCTAAAACTACGAAATAATCAGACCTGATTCAGAGGGTGGGTGTGAGGTTTAAATGAGATCATGAATCAGCAAAAGGAACTTCAGTCCATCTTGATGTCTGAGGTTCATTCCTAAGAGACACATCTACACACACCACCAACCGTCAAAAATAATGTAATAGTAGTGAAGGTATGTGGTTAAGTATATTTGGGAAGCAATGAAAAAAAACCCTTCCCACCTACCCCCATCTACCCAACCCCACCACAGCTTCCACAGTGAACATTCAAGTTTTTATTGGTGTTTTATTCTAAAAATAATACATGATTACTATAAAAAGCCACAATGTAGATGGATATAAAGCTGAGAATGGAGTTCCTCAGCTCACTTGAAAGTATGAACAAATAACAAGAGCCCATATAAACCAAATAGATTTGGAAATTAATCAAACACAACTTCTAGAAATGAAAAACATCATCCTTCAAATTGCAGAATTAATGGTATGAGCTGAATAGGAGACTGAGTAAAGCTGAAGATAGAATTCTTGAAATATAAGATAGAGCTGCAGAAATTATCCTGAATGTAGCTCAAAGAGAAAGTTTGAGAATATAAAGAAGTAAAAAGACATGGAGGATAGAGTAGAAAGATCTAACATGTTTAATTATAATATGAGACAGAAAGGATGAAAGTATAGGAAAGAGGCAGTGTTTGAACACATCATAACTGAAAGTTTATGAAAGTTGTTGAAAGATAGCATACTATATGTCCAGGAAACCCAATAATGCCTAAACACTAGAAGTGAAAAGAAATCCATGCCTATACACATAAAAGTAAATCATCAGAGAGAGGGAAATATTGTGAAAATAGCGTCTAATGGAATATCATTTAAATGGACAGCTGACTTCTCAGCAACAATAATTCAATCCAGAAGACAGCAGAATGATATTTTTAATAATTTTGAAATTTATATTGCTAACAAAATAGTGGTTAGCTTAGAATTCTCAATCTAATGAATCTACTTTTCAAAAACAAAGATGTAATAAAACTGAGAGGGCTTACCACAAATAGACCTTACTTAAGGACATTCATAATGTCAAGGACACGACAAGGATGTCCGCTCTCATCACTTCTATTTAACATTGGAAGCTCTAGCCAGAGCAATTAGGCAAGAAAAAGAAATTAAAGGCATCTTGGTTGGAAAAGAAGTAAAATTATCCTTATTTGCAGATAATATGTTCTTATATACAGAAAATCCTAACAAATCAACTAAAAAACTATTGAAAATTCAGCAAGATTGCAGGATATAAGATCTAAGCACAAAAGTTAATTATATTTCTATACATTCGCAATGAATAATCCAAAAATGGATTTAAGAAAATAATTCCATTTATAATAGCATCAAAAGGAATAAAATACTTAGAATGCATTTAACAAAAAAAGGGCAAAATATGTACTCTGAAAATGGCAAAACACTGTTGAAATAAATTAGGGAAGACCTAAGTAAACGAGACTATCTTTACTGTTCATGGATTAGAAGACTTAATATTGTTAAGATGGCAATACACTCCAAATTGATTTACAAATTCTATGCAAAACCCTGGCTGGCTGTTTTGCAGAAACTGACAAGCTGATTCTAAAATTCTTGCCAAAATTTAAGAGACCAACCATAGCTAAAACAAACTTGGAAAAGCACAAAGTTGGGGGACTCAGACTTAATTATTTTAAAACTTACTAAAAATCTATAATAGTCAAAACAGTGTGGTATTAGCATAAGGATAGGCATATAGATCGATGAAACAGAATTGAGAATCCATAAATAAATCAGTATATTTATAGAAAACGGTGACAAGAAAACTCAATGGGGGAAGAATAGTCTTTTCAGCAAGTGGTGCTACAACAACTGGATATCCACATGCAAAAGAATGAAGTTGAATGTCTTCCTCATACCATACATGAAAGTTAACTTAAAATAGATAATGAAATTAAATGTAAGGGCTAAAACCATAAAACTTTTAGAAGAAAATATAGGTATAAATTTCAGTGACCTTGGGTTAAATAGAACCTTCTGTGACACAGCACCAAAAGCATAAACAACAGA